GTTCGTTCCAGTCATTGGCAGCAGAGAACTGGAAGGAATGGCGGTCAAAGGAGGTGTTGGTTTTGGGGATGACCAGTGAGATATACCTGCTGGAGCGCAGACTATGGGTGGGTGTTGCTATGGTGACCAGTGAGCTAAGATAAGACAGGGATTTGCCTAGCAGTGATTTATAGATGACCTGGAGCCAGTGGGTTTGGCGACGAATATGTAGTGAGGGCCAGCCAACAAGAGCGTACAGGTCACAATGGTGGGTAGTATATGGGGTTTTAGTGACAAAACGGATGGCACGGTGATAGACTACATCCAATTTGCTGAGTAGAGTGTTGGAGGCTATTTTGTAAATGACATCGCCGAAGTCAAGGATTGGTAGGATAGTCAGTTTTACGAGGGCATGTTTGGCAGCATGAGTGAAGGAGGCTTTGTTGCGAAATAGGAAGCCGATTCTAGATCTAACTTTTGATTGGAGATGCTTAATGTGAGTCTGGAAAGAGGGTTTACAGTCTAACCAGACACCTAGGTATTTGTAGTTGTCCACATACTCTAGGTCAGACCTGCCGAGAGTAGTGATTCTAGTCGGGTGGGCGGGTGCAAGCAGCGTTCGGTTGAAGAGCATGCATTTAGTTTTACTAGTGTTTAAGAGCAGTTGGAGGCTATGGAAGGAGTGTTGTATGGCGTTGAAGCTCGTTTGGAGGTTTGTTAACACAGTGTCCAATGAAGGACCAGATGTATACAAAATGGTGTCATCCGCATAGAGGTGGATCCATCATTGATATACACAGAGAATAGTGTCGGCCCGAGAATTGAACCCTGTGGCACCCCCATAGAGACTGCCAGAGGTCCAGACAACAGGCCCTCCGATTTGACACATTTAGCTCTATCTGAGAAGTAGTTGGTGAACCAGGCGAGGCAGTCATTTGAGAAACCAAGGCTATTTAGTCTGCCAATAAGAATGTGGTGGTTGACAGAGTCGAAAGCCTTGGCCAGGTGGATGAAGATGGCTGCACAGTACTGTCTTTTATCGATCGCGGTTATAATATCGTTTAACAATGACACAGTTTAATGTGTTCGGTTACTGAATCGCTGATTGCGCTCAGTACAGTTTTTCAATGGCAAACTATGCATCATTCATTACCGAAACATTCTCACCTCGAAACCTGCTCATTATTACCGTAATGCACCAGTATTTAGGAAATACTAGGAAAAATAAAACATATACTTTAGCAATTTTGGCTTAATCTGATACTGTGCCTTTTGTTCTTTGTATACATAAAAAATAACATATATATACACAAGTAATTATGACAAAGAACAAGATTCAGAAAAGGTTATGTATTACGGTAATGAGATAAATTACTAAAGAAATGTTAATTACATTTTTAAAATATTTGTTTTCAGTGTTATGTTTAACTCAGGCCTTTTCACTAAGTAAGCAAGTAAAACTGTTGCAGTAATGCATTTCTGAGTTGATAGTTGTGGAAATTGACAGATACAATGATGCAATGCCTATTTAAGTCTATGGTTGCAACTTGTCAATTCCAAAGACCAACACACAGTGTAGTGCACACAACAGACAAGTCACCAAAGTGTTGCAAACACGTTGCAAATTGTGCCATTTTTGTTCAGCTCAAAATAACAACACTCTTACCTAAATCACAATTTCATTAGTCAAAGAGGAAACACTGTAGCCATCCAGAGTATTCTGTTGTCCTGACAACCGTCAGTTTTGGAGGAGGGGTTTCATATCCTGTGCCAACTGTATGCATAGGTTTTTAAAGGGACCCTGTACAGTTTGGCGTGTGGGGAAAACTTTTTTCACTCCAATGCATCCGCCAACAACAACACAACAACAACATTGCAACAGCAATGCCCATTCAATAGCCTATCCAAAAGAGTAGTGCCGGGCTTGGCCGGTGTAGGCCGTCATTGTAAATAAGAATTTGTTCTTAACTGACTTGCCTAGTTAAATAAAAATTCATCTGCACCTGTAATAGTGGTAAATGTAAAAAATAAAGACATCCATTTTAATTTCCAATATTCTCCCATTCTTTATTACCAAGTAAACCAGGTAATGTTATCACATTATATTCACTTTTTATATTTTCACTCTTAAAATCTTTGGATGGGAAATTTACATGAAATGTGTCCTATGCAGTGAATAAAATACAGACAGAAAAAATCAATATTTCATAGAAGAAGAAAAAACATACAGAAAGTCTCTTACAGTATATGGCTGGAAATATGCTAATCCATAATAAGGCAAATAATAAAACATGTAAGCATTATTGAAACATTTATAAATTGCTGCTTCTACATATCTGGAGAGAAGTTTGGTATTTGTGCATTCTTTTTTAAGGACCAGTAAGGCTCAAAGAAATAAAAGATTGCAACCAGGACAAAAAAGTAATAGTACCATAATTAGTGATAATGTCAAGGATAAAAAGGGATGTTTGTCATTGGTTGTGACTCCTTTTGAATATATTGATTTGGAAATTAGTAAGAAAATATGAGGTAATGTGAGGCTATTACCATTATCATAAAGTGAAAATGCATTAAATAATACACTAAACATTTTCCCCTTGAGATCAGCAGGAGCAAAACAATTATCGTTACGCAAAATAATTAGTTGTTGGTGTAATAAAGTTAATATTCAGTTAAGAGTAATTAACACAATGCTTAGCATATTTAAATGTTTCCTTTTATGTAATACACATGATTTCAAGTATTCTATTTGTGACACTCATTTGTGTCACGGGTTGATAGTCACTAGACTCGATGCTGTTTGTTACGTATCAAACTCATATTGTTGATAATGATTGACGTCACGCTGGAGGTAGACTGAGCCGAGGGCACACAGATATTATAGTGATTTTGTAGCAGCTGGCAAAATCACTGTCTTTTGTTGTGACTTTGTACAAGCCTCTCTGGCTGTTGTTTAGAGAACATTGGTGCTGTGAGATTAGAATTTAAGGGCCTGCTTAGAGAAGTCAAATTAGAAATGTCTCTTGGCTTCTGCTCTGGAGATGTGGTCCCTGAATTCTTGTAATAAACCGAAATGATTTTGATTGATATGATCATCGACTGTTCCTTTTGTTCACCTGGAAAATCCCATTTACAGTAATCAGGAGCAAACATAGGAGGATGTTAACTGCAATACATCATGGAAGTGTGATAATGTTGTTGGGATTCATGCCAAAGGTCAAAGCTTTAGGTGAACGGTGAAACACGATGAAGTGACTAGAAGTTACAGTGAAGGCAATCACATAGTAAACTTACTATAACAGGCATAGGTCTGAATTAGCCTGGTTAAACCAGACTGAATGCTACATTCACTACTGTTTGGTTTAACCAGGCTAGGTTGGAATAGCATTGGATAAGGAGGTGACTCAATGACTTTTCTTCTTCTCCATATTGTGTGCTGCTGTGCATCTTAAATGTCTTGAAATAAATAGCATCGTGTTATAGTAAAAAGGTAACCAAAAACAACATTTTGAGTAATGCAGATTTCATGCTGTACCTATGAGGTTTTTTTGAAACCATGGACAGTCACAGTATTTACAAGAAATCCATGTTAGAAATGAAACTTAAATTATACTTTTTAAAAATGTTTCTGTTATGTATTGTGAAGGCTAACACCACCATATAACATAACTCTTATTTGACAATACGCAGAAACACCCATATGTCCAAAGGGAAGCTTATTTCATATTTACACTTTTTCACAAATTGATTTTCAATATATTGCTATTAGAAAATGATAAAACACCTATTTACTCCACACGGTGGAAAAACAACAAAATAAATATAACATTAGGGCCTTCCATTACATATACGTACATTAGTATTCTATTTTAAATAAATAATTATTGTATCACTTTTTCATCTTCTTTGATGTCCTCCGGTTATTCTTCCCAGTGGGCAAAACTGGTTCAAACTGGTTGAATTGACGTCATAAAGAACAAATATCAACCAGTTTTGACGTAATTTCAACCAGTTTCTCATTGTAATTATGTAATTTCAGCCAGTTTTGCTTAGTTAGGCCTCCTGGAGATGCTAAGCGATAAACAGACTCAGAAAGTCATCCATTCTGGTCCAAGGCAACTCTACTATCCAGCCTGTGAGGCAGCCTGCTTTGTTTTTGTCTTCCACAATCAGGTAAACAATGTGAACCATTACATGAACCACTTGACCTCCCAGCAAACACACAATACATAATGTTGTCCCCACATTGACTCCAAGTTGTGGGCCTCAACCTGCTGGTACAGTACCAGCTGGTACCATATTAGTTTTACCAACCCAATAAATAAAAGAAAAGCATCAAATAATAGAATATAAATGTCATCATAGCGAATGGAGTTATTTTCATAATCTATTGAATTATCAATGAATGTTAACTGTATCTATATCTATTCACATAAATCTGTCCAGTGAATCTTCCATCATCACCCATTCACATACATTTCCTGTAGCTCAGTTGGTAGAGCATGGCGCTTGCAACGCCAGGGTTGTGGGTTCGTTTCCCACAGGGGGCCAGTATGAAAAATGTATGCACTCACTAACTGGATAAGAGCATCTGCTAAATGACTAAAATGTAAACATTTCTTCTCACAAATAAAACTGGATCACTGTATGTGGTGCCAATAATACATTACTTTGATAAATGTAAAAGTGTTGAATTCATTATCTTTGCCTCAACAACCCTCAAGGTGCACAGAACAGAACGGAAAAGGGCGGTGACTACTTGCATAAAACCCCAACAGTGAGACTACTGTATTGGGTGTGTTAAAACATAAAGTGATACCTTGGTGAACTGTGTGCATTACATCACATCCTGTTGTTGCTTCTCTCCCATCATCCACCCTTCCCTGCTCAAGTGTAAGGTTTCAGATGTTTTTCAGTTAGTAGCTTGTAGCTTGAATGAAGAATACATAGTAGACTCTCATCATCCTCAGAGTCAAAAGCCATTGTATGGGTGAAAGGGTGTCATTTTACAACAGTGGTGACTAGTTGTCCGCCAGATATTTCCCTGTAAAGAAACACAATCAGAGTATTCAGTCAAGGGAATTTCAACTATTGCCAAAGTGTTGTCTTGCCTTGTTTGCATGGTCAGGCAACAATGTCACATTCAGGGTTAGGTTCAATATAATTTCAATCCAGTTTCAAATAGGGCCCATGATAGGCATCCCAAAATGTGTGACAATGACCATGGTAGTTGGCAAGACAGCACAAACAGATCTGGGACCAGGCTAGTATTTCCATGCTTCCCTCACACACAGACACTGACCTGCTGCAAATCTCTTTTTGACCAGTGAGAGCCTGTAGCCGGCCCCCACCAGCTGGATGTCACAGCCTGACAGAGTGCTGCCCTCGCTGGTGAACTGCACCGCCAACTGGGACGGCTTACTGGGACCCTCTGTCAACTGGAACCTACCCAGTAGAGCTCCCACTCCTATAGGAAAGAGAATAATGGTGATGATGGTGATGATGAAGAGCATTATTCAGATTATGAAGATAAAGTTGAGGCAGATGAAAACGGAGAGGAGAGGAGAAGGAGGAGGAAGACAGGAAAAGTGAAAGAGGAGGAAGAGGATGAGGAAGAGATGAAGGAAGATCATCTACCTCCATTTTCAGACCTCTGGGAAAGGCTTGGTATCTTCCATAGAATTTTCTGCTGCTCTGAGTTCCTTAGAGAGACAACCAAATACAGTTATAGTTGCCTACTTGCCATTATTATTTCAATGACATTCACCTGAAAAATACATTCTAAATATAAATATATGCACTCACTAACTGTAAGTCGCTCTGGATAAGAGCGTCTGCTAAATGACTAAAATGTAAAACATTTAAATACAAATACAAATACAAATTCTAAGATTAAATACATTTTAAAAGAATTTCAGGTCAGCAATTTAGCATTCTTACCAGGTGGCAGTGGGGATCATGGCTTGGAGTTTGTGCACGCCCCCGTCCAAAGGGACCAGGAAGTGGATGTTGTGGAGGGGCGAGGGGGCGGCCATGGCCTCCGTGTTGTATTTGTAGTCTATCCTGAGGTCCGTGCTGGTGGCGTCGCCACGCCAACTCACTGCCAGGTTCAGGGGGGTCGACTGGATCCCCTCGGCTGCCACCTGCGACAGAAACTCACACACACAGTATTTTGCATTTGTTTAACAATTATATGTAATTGTGACTATATACTGTATATGTAATAATATTTAATAATATGTACTATGCAGATGGTCTCACCTGATATTTGATCATGTCCACATTGTAGTAGGTTGCTTGAGGCTTCTGGTCAGCCACTCTCCTCAGGTGGCTCATCAGGTTTGGCATATTTACCCAGAATTCCTTGGTGTCCACATTGGACACGGTGTCACTGGAAACAAATACATGACGTGGGCATTTCTGGTTTGCTGATGGTGTAATATTACAATTACTGTATCTGATTCAAGTACTGTATATTATGATATTATCTTGCACGTGTACATGCAACACCATCATTTTTTAATCACAGAGGTGTCTCTCCCCCAACAAATTAGAGCCAGCGCATCATACCAAACAACGCCATTTACCTGTGACTATATTCATGATAAAGCACAGTGTCTTACTGTTTAAATATAAGGATTAAAACACATTGCTATTGGTCCTGTGATTGTCTACTATTTTTAGGGGCATCCACCAACAGTCAATGTGTAGCTCCAATCCTGGCCACAATCCATGCTACATGTTTATTTTTATTTTTATCCTTGCCCCAAAATACATGAGTCAGTGTACTGTATAATATGCCTTACCAGCACAGTAGCTGTGGATTGGGGAGGACCTGCTCAAGCCGGCTGTAGTTGCTGATGCTGAAGGTGAGCACAGGGGCAGACGGGTGGCTAGCAAAGTGCCTGGTGATGCCCGCCGGGAAAGACAGCACCATCTCCCCAGTGATCTTTACCACACACCTGAAACACGGAGAATAGAGCCAGCTCAGTGCTCAGAAATGGGTCAAGACAAAAAAGAAAAGAAAAGGACAAAAACTACAGTACCCAGAATCCATAGGGATGCCACAAACAAACTACATTCTACAAAATATCTACATTCTCAGTTTTCAGAACAATATATAGGCTAAATGAATTTCCCTGTGGGGACAGCAAAAGGGGACAATAAAGTTTGAAACTGAATTGAAAAAGGCATAGCTGCAATGTGATAATATATATCAACAACAATATCATAGCCATCTTACTTGTTGCATTTATTCTGATGAGGGTCGCTTTGCCGGCTGAAACATCATGTTGTCATGAATTTGCATTCACATCAGTATTGACTTTGATTTACATCAATGTTGTTATCGACAATAGTATCAATGTTGCTACTTGTTTAAGCATTAGCCTAGCATTGAAATGAGAATGTTAGCCTATTTCTAATGCTACTTGTGTTAGCATTAGCCTAGCATTGACAGGAATAGCCTAGCATTGATAGGAATGCTAATCTTACTTGCTGGGGTCGGCTCCTTTGAAGTAGGCATTGATGGTCTCGGTGAAGGCAGCCGCCACAGGCAGAGTGTCCTGTGCTCCCATGGTGAGTGGACTGGGACCTCTGGAGCATCCTGACACACACACACACACACACACACAGTTGATTACCATAGAAAGACACTAGCTCAGTACTATTAGCACTTCCTGTGTCTGTAACGGCCTACAGACGTGGTCAAATGAGCAGACATGCGTAAGGGGGGGAGATGGGAAGAGCATAGAAATGGCAAGAAAGACGATTGGACAGATCATGGAAAGTGATAAAATGACGAAGGAAGAGGATGCTTGAAGAGACTAGAGTAACATGGACAGCCAGGGTAGTGCAGTACAGTACAGTACAGTACAGTAGCCTCCATACACTGGTACTGGGTCATATTCATTAGGCACCAAACGGACTGAAAGAGACTACCTGAACTTGTCCAATTAGACATGCTATTTTTCCTTTTCCGTTGCAAACGTTTTTTTTTTGCAGTGTACCCTAATGAATTCGACCCTGGTACGACTCACCTTCGAAAGATAAATAAAACCGGCCATGGTCAAACCATACCATGGCTGGCTGTTTTTCCTCTGTGTGTGCGGGGAGGGTTAGAGGACATGGGGTAGAGGCAGGCAGGAGGAGAGGAAGAGAAGAAGAGGTGGATGAGTTACTGGAGGTGTAGACCCATCACGAGACACTGAGGGCAAGGCCAGAGGGAGTTTTGCGTGATGGCTAGATATTAAGAAAGTGGGTGAACATCAGATTGTGCATGGTATACCATTGTGTGTTTAGGAGGGTGACGATGACGAGCGGTGTGCATGTATGCATCATACTGTACAGTGTACATGCTTCCATTCTCCACAGTATTTAACCAGGTTGTCCCATTATGGTCAAAAGGCCTGTCCCATTATGGTCAAAAGGCCTGTCCCATTATGGTCAAAAGGCCTGTCCCATTATGGTCAAAAGGCCTGTCCCATTATGGTCAAAATACCTGTTCCACCAAAGTCATTTTATACTGTGTGCTTCAAATTTGAGCATACTACCACTCGCAAAATGACAAAACAATGAACAGTTCATTATGTTGAACATTGAATGTATTAACAACAGAGACATACATTAAGAACACCTTCTCTTTCCATGACATAGACTGACCAGGTGAATCCAAGTGAAAGCTATGATCCCTTATTGATGTCACCTGTTAAATCCACTTAAATCAGTGTAGGATTTTTAAGCCTTGAGACAATTGAGACATGGATTGTGTATGTGTGCCATTCAGAGGGTGAATGGACAAGACAAAATATTTAAGCGCCTTTAAACGGATTATGGTAGTAGTTGCCAGAGGCACCGGTTTGTGTCAAGAACTGCAACGCTGCAGGGTTTTTCACACTCAACAGTTTCCCGTGTGTATCAAAAATGGTTCAACACCCAAAGGACATCCAGCCAACTTGACACATCTGTGGGAAGCATTGGAGTCAACATGGCCAGCATCCCTGTGGAACGCTCTCGACACCTTGTAGAGTCTATGCCCTGACGAATTGAGGCAGTTCTGAGGGCAACTCAATATTGGGAAGGTGTTCCTAATGTTTGGTATACTCAGGGTACACAGGTGAATGAGGTGTTATGGAGGATGGTGTACCTGTGGTGGATATGTTGAGTTCTCTCCCCAGGGTTGGGGTGGAGGCTGCGCTCAGTGAGGTGATGGAGGATATTGAGGAGGAACTCTCGGCCCGGGCCAGCGGGGCGAAGGGAGGGGGGCTGCCGGACACAGGGGGGCTGAAGGGTCGAGTCTGGGGGAGGGGGTGAGAATATCAGTAGCCCGCTGCTGTACCAAACTTTTAAAAACACAATGTAATGTTAGCAGAGCAATCGCAGTTAGGTTTAGTAGCATCTCTAACTTAGTGGAAATCCGTTGAAGAAAAAAACGAATAATGAGGGTCGCAAGTCTAACAAATTCTAATGGTATCGATCACAAGTCTAACACATGGAAGAGTAAACTGTAGGTGCCATACCAGGTCTCCTATTGGTTTCCCAGGTGGCAGTTTGGGTCGAGAGGAGGGCCTTGTAGGAAGAGGGGGAGGGATTGGACTGCCTCCTGACAGGGGCGTGGCAGGTCGAGCTGGAGAGGAGGGGTCTGTAGAGGGAAAAGAAAGGCACGTGACGAGGATGAGGAAAAATTGCCCTTATTAAGAAGTGTTATGATCAGCTATGACCTACACTATATAGAGTACATGACCATCTAGATCCGATAGTAATTGTCTCCAAGGAATAGATTACATTTTCACTATGATCGGAATACCCATTCTAATTATTGTATTTCTATGTTTTCCTACAGTGGTAATCTACCCATTCTATTTCTGTTTTCCTACAGTGGTACTCACCGCTGCCTGGGCAGGGTCTGGGGGAGGACACCATGGACCTGTAGGTGTGCGGGGGGAGGGGTGGCGGCGTGCCCCTGAAGCCCGGGGTCAGCCCAAGGGGCGAGGCCATAAAGTCAGGCTGCTCCTCCCTCAGGAACACCAGAGGGGAAGGGACACCCGCCCGAGGGGAGCGCTCCGCAGGAAGGGGGGGAGGGATAGGACTGGTAGGGGCAGAGGAGTACTCTAGTGGGCCAGAGGGAGCAGGAGAGTACTCCAGTATCTCATCATCCAAAAACAGACTAGGATCGATGGCGATGCATGGCGGAGAGTCCGGGGGAGAGAAGTCGGGAGGCAGGGGGGGAACGGGTTGATCTGGAGGAGGAATGGAGATGATGGAGATGGGAGAGTCGGGGGGAGAGGAGAAGGGTGGCGGGGAGGGGGGAGGCTCATCCGGAGGGTGGCCCGGGGAGAGGCAGGGGGAGTCTGGGGGGGAGGAGAGGGAGTGGGGCGAGTCGGGAGTCGGAGAGGCAGGGGGCGGAGGCGGGGCCGGTTCGTCTGGTGGGGGCGGTCTCTCGCTGTTGAAGCTGACCCATCGGGGCGAGGCCCTGTCCTCAATGGTCCGGGAGGATTCCATGGGGCCGAACACGTTGTCCAGGTCAGGCACAGGGGAACCTCTGTACGAGCCTGGGGATTGGACGTTCAGGTAGATGGGGGCGGGGCTTGGGACTATTCTCCCATTGGGTAAATCAGCTGTGGAAAAAAATAGTTCAGAGATCTTGCTGAGTTAAAGGGGCACTTCTATCAATGCTGTCCAAAGAACAACGATTCACTATGACAACTGTGCATGAGGCATGGGAATATTGAAGCTGATTCATTCCAAAACAAATACAAATAAAACCATTGAAGTTTTGGAATTAATCTGCTTCGATATGGGAATTATGGTCATTGGCAGAATAATATTACCGGAAGAATCAGTCGAAGAATTGCCTTGACTAGCTGCTGGGATGTTCTTGGGAGGTAGTGGAGGAGGAGCTACAATGAGAGTGACACTTGGTCAAAGGACTTGCATTTTGTACAATAGTTAGTCTACAGTACTACGGCACTAGAGAGTGTGACACTAGGTCAGTCTGTAGACTTACTATAACACTTGGTAACACTATTGACTAAAACGTTGGTCTCAAACTGGCGGCCCGCGGGCCAGATGCGGACCACAAGCCGATTTAATGGCCCGTGGAAGTCTTAGAAATATAATAATATAAAAGCACAAGCATGACTGATGCATGATACAGTTGGGGCTTACCTCCTGTGGGAAAGGATCGGGTCAGAGGGGAGTCAGAGTATGGTCTGGAGTCACACCATGCATCAGCCTCTATGCAGACCACTATGATAAAGGAAGACATGATATCAAACTTGATCAAAGGTTTATCAAACTTCAGTGGGAACACAAATGCACAAATATATCACACTAAACCAGACCAGGCACTTTTGGGTGATAATACAGCTATAGATAGTATTATTATGATTAGGAGCAATCAACCAACATACCACTATACTAACACATAGCTAAAACCCATGCAACACAAACACACATATGCAGTCAGAAAGACTATTTTTGTGAGAGTTACCATCATTTCTGTTACTATCATATCTGTGTGTCTCATAGGTAATCTCTGGAGGAAGCCCGAAGAAAGCTGGGGATGCTCTGCGATTCTGGGATACTCTCTCACTGCAAGAGATGATAAAGTTAAGATATGTAAATATGATTTTATGACTCTGATATTCAAGATTTCATCGATTTTCTTGTAGTGTGTTATTGAAATTGAATTTAACAGCTTTATTTTTCCCCAAAGATAACATTTAGCACACCCAACACAAATTCTAACAATACAGTATGTTAATATGCTAGCCTGTTTGCATTGTTAGCATTAGCACGGGTTTGAACTCTGACCTTTGTGTCTCGGGGGCGGGGCTTGGCATAGGGGTGGAGCGTCTGGGTCTGGCTATCTCCTCACCTGGAAAGAACAACCCAATACCACTAATATTATATAGCATAACATTATATCATATATTATTAAATGTATACTGGAGGTCTTCAAATTCTGTGACAGCCACTGAATGTGCATCTAAACTCAAACTATTGTAACTACAGTATGTATCCCAACTGTAAACAAATTGCTTAACTGATGGTGTAGAACTATGAAAAGATACTGTACTGTACATGGATGTAGTTGACACTGACAGAATGTCAAACTAATTACAGATAGCATTACACTACTTCTAGCAATGTACTTACAAGACAGGTGTCTCTTTATCGATCCCTGCAACGAAAAGAAAGTCATTTTCAGTATAACAGTAAAAAGGAATCCTAACCTCACATAAGAAACATGAAGGTAAACAGTGCAACCGATAATTAAGAGTTTCCCCGGATGAGTCTCCCTGTACAACTGCTAATGTGAATTAATAGAGTGAAGAACTAACTGTAAGTATGGACACTGACAAAAGACCACATTTTGTGAGGCCATCAGTACATTTCATATTGCTGGACTGGAGAATAGGAGTTGAAAGGCCGTGTTTGGGTTTGTAGAAAATTAAATGGACAGCACCAAAAGATAATCTTCAATAATTCATTTATTTCCCTGCAAGCATTTTGGGTGCCACCAGGTGGCGACTTACCGGGCTGCATCTCTGAGACCAGCAAAAAGGAAGAGAGAACAGACCTGGTCAGAGAGTGACAAATCAGTCAAATGGAATGGAAAATAATATATCACCCCTTTACTTCAGCACTGTGCCATAAAGCCTACACACGATAATGCAGCAATACAACATAGCACCTGGTAGGTTACGTTACCTGAGCTTGTCAATCAACATAGGCCTGGGTCCTGTTCTTTAGGGCACAGAATGGAAAATATATTTAAGAAATGTTTTGCTAAAGTTAATTAAAAAGGGTTTCCTATTGGACATGTCCATTAAAAAGGGTTTCCTATTGGACATGTCCATTTAGACCCTCCCAGCTTTAGTCTGTTTTCTTCCATTTGGTGCCTAAGAACAAGACCCTGCTGTTATTTATTTGACAAAGCTGCACATGTGATCCCGTTTGCTAGCCTACCAATCAGCTTTGGTCAAACAGAATCAATGGGCTATCAACAGGTGTTATGTGAAGAATTGTGCATTATGTACCATGTAAGCCTTGCAGGGGAAGTTCAAGTAAGTTTTCAACTAAAATAAAACGTTCTAACCGAAGATGCTCTTTAAAATGTGTTAAAGGCATGCAGTGTGAAAGTGTTAGTAATATAAAACATATATAATATGCAGAGAGGAATTAGAATAACTAAACAACTCAAATACCAGAGCCAATCCCAGCAGGAAAAACTGGTTGCAATGACATCAATGGCATCATTACGGTTGTAAAAGGACGTTTTGTAAATGTATTTTTAGCAACTAGAAAAATAGATCTTCATACCTGACCAGATAACAACCAATATATGACGTCTTTCTTGATTTCGTCATGAAAACATAGGTTGGTTGGTTATAATCTGGTGATATGAAGACTTCTGAATCAGAAAATCAGTTTCTAACAAAAGAAAGTGACGTCACATCACATGCAACATTTTGCCTGCTGGGGATTTTTTTTGCTTCTGTAGGGGAAAGAGAATCCACATGAGAAAAGAATCCACAGCCATGCTCTTTCTTTATTGTGAAACAGATAAAGAAGTGGAAGAAAAAACCTGGCTTACCGGACTTCTCCTCTACAAGAGCAACAGACGTAAGAAACAGAGAGATGGAATAGAAAGGGAAGAGACGGAGAGATAAATGAGAGGAAGTGAGAGGAGGGAAAGATATTCAGATGTTCAGTACATTCCCGATAATTTCACTGGCTAGAATTAGCTGTAGCTGTCTCAAGTTTCAACAAACAGATTCATATACAGTAATACTTCATATAACACCAGAGAGAGCTAGCTTTGGAGTAGCAGATACCAGTCCCTCCAGGATTATGCGATTCTGCCAATTTATGTGAGAGTTTGCAAATTTAACTTATCACAGCACTATTTCCTCATAAAACAGTTAAATCATCGCAATATTATCGCATAAAACTGACCCATCACCGCAGTACAAAAAGAGAGCTTGCAATTTCAACCAATCACCGCACATTTGCCGCATAATATGGTTCAATCAAGCCACACGTCAACAAACGTTTTCCCTCGTCTGCGCATTTTCGCAACAATTGGACAAAATCATTGCATATTGCCATGTAAAATGTCAGAATTGCGGGCAGCAAAATCAAGCATTTTTGCCAGCAAATATCACAAAGAAATCCCAGCAAAATCCTGGAGAGCCTGAGTTACGGCGGTGGCCCTTGGTCATAGTAACCCGAGTTCAAGCCCTGGTCAGGTACATTGCACTATAACCGACTTTACTAGGTACAAATCTAGGGTCAGCTTCCCCTCCCCCAATCCTATCCTTAACCATTAGTGAGAAATATGCTAAACTAACCGAAGAGCAGCGTCTTGGGACAACTTCACCCTACTCCAATTACACACAGTTAGAACATCAAGGGCTCACCAGAGAGGGAGATAGAGCCAAGCCCCCAACTGAAGCTTTCAGTTCGTCCATAGATGGGACGGCACACTTGGCAGTGTCGGAAGGCAACGGCTTGATCTTGATCTTGAACTTCCTCTTGTCATCCTCGTCCTCCGAGTCGCTGGAGGAGAAGAAGTGTTGCTTGCCTTTGGGAGCTGGTGAACACTCGTTAAGGAACAATATATTTTACAAAGAGTTACATTACAGAGGTGCACAGGGGTAATCTTGGCACCTATAACCTAATCTTGGAAACCCAGAACAAAAATGTTGCGTTATTGCGTGACCTTCTCTATTATGGTTAGATACATTTATGTTACATACGTCTGTCCATGAGAGAGGGGTAGACAAAGGAGCACCCCAAGCATTTCCAATGAACTAAATTACTAAAGATTGTCCACTCCCTATCTTTCGGGTACCTCCATGGGTCAATGTGTAATTTGATCCCTAAATGAAATTAAGGGCATCAAAAACCAATACTCACACATACTCAAATACCAGAGCCAATCCCAGCATGTCGAGCCAAGTGCCTATCAATTTCCCTTGCCACAAAATGTATAATTAGCGTTAGCATACATCTGTTCCAAAGACACAAAGGGTGCATTTACTAAGGCAGCCCAATTCTGAACTTTTACCCAATTATTGGCAAAAGATCTGATCTGATTGGTCAAAAGATGAATTAGTGGCAAAATATCAGAATTGGGCCAAATAGATACTTTGTCAGATGCAAAGCCAATAGTCTCTGGAGTACAAATGGTGCAGCGATATACAGTATACCTGTCTGACTCCGTCTGGTGTGGCCCAGTTTACTACACTGCACCTGCTGAAACTGAAGTAGATATTGTCCCTGTTCTAGGATCAGATTACCCTAGCCCAAATACTGTTATTTCTCACTGATGATGGTAGAAAATCTCACTGAATATTGCCCTACCCCTAACCTTGTCCAATGGCTCAATTGCTAATTTGATCCTGGGCCAGTGAAAACATAACTTTTCAATTGAAACCAATGGTATTGAAAACTTTCTAGGCGGGATGCAACAGAGATAGGCTACACTTATTTGACTCTGCCCTGTTAACCAGCCTGGCCACACTGACTAGACGTAACATAGTAGATGTACATTTGTATCGGTCCAATTAGTATGATATGTTATGTTTGGTATGGTTACTTAAGACAGGAACTAGGATATCTAGCAACCCAAAGGTTGCGTGTTCGAATCACACCACGACATTGGTATTCAAAGTCGGGGACGCGACGGGGGAACTGCAGTGGGGTCAATAAAATAAAATAACAAATAATTTGGAACAAACAAATATGAGAACAGATTATTTTATGCGGAAATATACAAACGTTTTGAGAAAGATAATTTGAAAAAAAAAGATGTATTGAGTAAATGTATTTATTGGTTTATTTTCAAGAGATCAAAATGTAATGAATTGAAGGTTATTTGTTGATGTAAAAATCGAAATGTACAGATTTTAAGGTTGTATCATTAGATTTGGGGTGGGGTGGGTTCGCGAGAAACTGTTGCGGAAAAAATGGGGTCCCCAGAAATTATGGCGAAAAAAATGGGGTCCCCGCTGAAAAAGTTTGAATACCACAAAACTTCAGCATTTTAGCAACTTCTTAACTACTAATGTTATCTAACCCTTCCCCTAACCCCTAACCTTAACCCCTACCTTACATTTACGTCATTTAGCAGACACTTATCCAGAGCGACTTACAGTAGTGAGTGCATACATTTTCATATTTGTTCGTACTGGTCCCCTGTGGGAATCGAACCCACAACCCTGGCGTTGCAAGCGCCATGCTCTACCAACTGAGCTACACGGGACCTTAACTCCTAACCCTAACCCCTAACCTTAGCCACCTAGCTAGCTCTCGTTAGCCGTTAGCCACAACAAATTGGAATTCGTAACATATCATACATATTTAAAATTCGTAACATATTGTACGAAGTAACATATCATATGAAATGGATGATGGACATCCACAAATTCATACATATCATACAAAACGTAACAAATGACACTAAATGGAGGGAAACAAATGTAACTTTGCTATGTTACGTCTACCCCTGAGTTCAGGTTGTGTTACCCTTTCACCAGTGTTGGGGAGTAGTGAACTACATTTAGTTCCACTAGTAATATAACTACATTTTGCAGTAGCTTGGTGGTAGTTGAACTAAATTCAAATCTTGGTAGTGTTTTCAGTAGTTAATTACTACTTCTTATATGTAGCGGTGTAGCTAACTACTGGAACAACACACAACTATTTTTTGCAAAAATGAAAGAAACTATCGGTGAAGTAGTGTGACGAGTACTGAGGATACGAAGAGGCAGGACGCAGACGAAGGAATCAACAATGTAAAGGTTTACTTAACACTGAGCAGGAGAACAACAAAGAGTGAGTACACGACAAGACACTAACAATCACACACAACACAACACTGAACAGTCCAGGGCTATATAGGGGTGGTGATGAGATGATGAGGTGCAGGTGTGCTGGAGGTGATTAGGGTGCGTTGGGTTTCCATTCTGGTGTTGCCAAGGTGGTGCGCTCAGACCGGTGGCTCAGTAGACTGGCAAATCAGAGCGCCAGAGGGGAGCAACGGGAGGAGACGTGAGAGTACACCCCCCCGGACATGCGGCTCCCGCCGCAGGACGTCACCAACCATGAGGACGACCCCAAGGACGAGGAGCGGGCCGGTCAGGGCAGCGACGGTGGAAGTCCCGAATTAGGTTGGGGTCCAGAGCGTCCCCAGCCGGAACCCAGCTCCTCTCCTCAGGACCATACCCCTCCCAGTCCACCAGGTAACGGAGCCATCCTCCACGGAACCTGAAGTCCAGCAGGTCCCTCACCGCATACGCCGGACTCCCGTCAATGTCCAGGGGCGGAGGGGGCGTACCCCGGGAGGACCAGGAACCATCGGCCTGAGGAGAGACACATGAAAAATGGGTGAGACACGGTAGTGAGGGGGAAGGAGCAGCTGGTACGATAACTAATTTATCCGCCAGAGGACCTTAAACGGCCCCACGAACCGGGGGCTCAGTTTCTTGCAGGGCAGGTGGAGAGGGAGGTTTTTAGTGGACAGCCAGATCACCAGGCTGGAATACGGGGGCCTCACTGCGGTGGCGGTCAGCTTGGTCCTTCTGCCGATGAATGGCCCTCTGGAGATGGACATGGGCGGAATCCCAGACCTATCCGGCCCTGCGGAACCACTCGAGAGCGGGCGCATCGGTCTGGCTGGGTGTCCAAGGGGCCAGGCCCGGCTGGTACCCCAGGACGCACTGGAAGGGAGCGAGGGAGTTCTGGGCATATTCTGCCCAGGGAGGAAACCTTGCCCACTCACCCTGCCGGTCCTGACAGTGGCAACGAAGAAACCTCCCCAGCTCTTGGTTCATGTGCTCCACCTGCTCATTCGACTGAGGCTTATACCCGGAAGTGATGCTGGCCGTGGCCCCGATCTTCTCCAGGAAAGCTGTCCACACTCGGGAGGTGAATTGGGGGCCACGGTCCAAGACGATGTCCTCCTGAAGTCCATAATGCCGGAAGACCTGTTGGAACAGGACCTCAGCGACCTGGAGAGCAGAAGGAAGACCAGTTAGTGGAAAAAACGGCATGATTTGGAGAACCGATCTACGACCACCAGGACTGTGGTGAAGCCGTCAGAACGTGGGAGGTCGGTGACAAAGTCTATGGACAGGTGTGACCAAGGTCGCTGAGGTACTGGGAGAGGAAATAGTTTGCCTGCCGGGGCGTTCTGAGGTGTCTTCATTTGGACACATACAGAACAGGAGTTGATATAGCCGGAGACATCAGTAGCCAAGGTGGGCCACCAGTATTTTTGTGAGAGAAAATGTAGGGTGCGCGTCATACCGGAGTGCCCTGCCATAAGGGTGGTGTCACGGACCCTGGTGGGTACATACACGCGCCCCGGAGGGGCTTTGGCAGGCGCTGGGTCCTCCTGAGCCGCCAGGTGGATGTCTTCGTCCACATCCCAAACGACAGGTGCCACGATGAGAGACAGAGGCAGGATAGGACCCCCAAGATCCTTCCCTTCTCTGGTATGGCGCATCCTGGAGAGTGCGTCGGCTTTCACATTCTGGGATCCTGGGCGGTAGGACAGAATAAACTGAAAGCGAGTAAGAAATTGGGCCTACCTGGCTTGACGAGAGTTCATCCGTTTCGCTGCCCGTATGTGCTCCAAATTTCGGTGGTCAGTGAGTATCCGGAATGCATGGACTGCGCCCTCCAGCCAGTGTCGCCATTCCTCAAGAGCGAGGACCACCGCCAACAGCTCCCTGTCTCCAACTCCATAGTTCCTCTCTGCGGGGGTAAGCTTTTTCGAGAAAAAGGCACATGGATACATTTTCTCTGGCTTACCTTGCCGCTGGGAGAGGACCCCACCCACGCCCTCCTCAGATGCATCCACCTCCAGGATGAAAGGACGAGCTGGATCTGGGTGTTTTAGGAGGGGCGCTGTGGTGAACTTCTCCTTCAGCCTCTTGAAGGCAGCATCAGCCTCAGGGTTCCAGGCCAGCTTCTGAGGCCCCCCTTAAGGTGAGAGGTGAGCGGGGCGGCTATGGAGCTGAAGTACCTGATGAAACGGCGGAGGAAATTTGTGACGCCCTGGAAGCTCTGTAGGCCCTTGATGGTGGTGGGGACTGGCCATGACCTGAAGGCGTCTGTCTTCGCTCTTTCCATGAACACCCCGAGGTCTGATCCTGTATCCCAGGAAGGAGATGGCCTGTTGGTGGAATTCGCATTTCTCCCCCTTCACCAACAGGCTGTGTTCCCGGAGGCGGAGTAGGACCGCTCTGACGTCACTAACATGCTCCTCGAACGTAACCCGAGTAGATCAGGATGTTGTCAATGTACACCTTCACATGTCTACTCAGCATGTCTCGGAACACGTCTTTGACAAAGGACTGGAACACGGAAGGTGCGTTGGCGAGGCCGTAGGGCATGACGCAGTATTCATAGTGGCCTGAGGTAGTGCTGAATGCCGTCTTCCACTCGTCTCCTTCCCGGATTCGGATCAGGTTGTAGGCTTGGTAAAGTACCGGGCCCCTCACAGCTGCTCGATGGCCGACGGAACCAGAGGGATGGGGTACCGGTACTTGCTGGTGACTGCGTTCAACCCCCAGTAGTCAATGCACGGCCTCAGTCCTCCGTCTTTTTTGGCCACGAAGAAGAAGCTGGCGGAGGCAGGACAAGTTAAGCGTCTGATGAACCCCTGTTTCAGGGTCTCCGCCACATACTTCTCCATGGCCTCAGTCTCCGCTATGGAGATGGAGTAAATGCGACTCTTCTGGGAGGGGTTGTCCCTCCAGCAAGTCAATGGCACAGTCCCAGGGCCTGTGAGGAGGGAGACACTTAGCCTTGGAGGCAGAGAAGACATCGGAGAAATCTGCGTACTCACGTGGAATGTTGGGCTGGAGGGCGGACTCCGGACTCTCCACTGACGTGAAACAACAAACTACCGGCAGGCAGGTCCTCCGGCATGAGGGGGACCAGGCTGTGATCCTCTTGGTGATCCAATTGATGGTGAGGTTGTGTAGTCTGAGCCAGGGCAATCCCAAGACGATCCGGTGAAGGGGTGACGTGATGATGTGGAAGGACAGCTCCTCGTGGTGCTCCGGTAGTGTGGGAATGGTGATGGTGATGGGGAGAGTGACGTGCGTAATTGTGCCTGATCCAAGTGGTTTATTGTCCAGCGAGGTGATGTGTAGCGGAGAAGGCAGTGGCACGGTGGGCAACCCCCATTCAGAGACCAGCTCCCTATCTATAATGTTCCCCACTGATCCGTAATCTATCATTGCCGTGGAAAGCGAAGAAAAGGAAGAACCATTCACCATTAGGGGAACTAACAACAATGGTTTGATGACAGGTGATGACGGAACACTCACGGAGCGGCGACGGAAGTCATACCGACTAGATAGGGAGCCGCCAGGAGATCTGTGGTCCGTGGTGGTGTAGGGGGTGCTGCCCACCTCCATTGGTGAGGACTCGGAGGCAAGGCGGCTTCTTAAAATGAATGCACTAATGTAAGTCACTCTTGATAAATGACAAAAATGTCAAAATGTCAAATATTTCTTGGTGCCCGGCAACAGTACTAGGTCTCAGAGCAGGTGACTTCACTTTCAAGATTCCCATTACTAGTGCACCGCTAACTAGCTAGCCATTCCACATCAGCTACATCTGATAAAAGGATATTTTCCCCCTCCTCTCCGGGTCTGAGACTGAAGCCCTCAGCATCCACATCTGGAGTTGCCTGTAACAGGAAGTAAATATGTATAACTAAGTGGTCAATTTATGGTTTATGACATTGTGTGACAACAAATACAGTCACTTCTCTCATGCTTGTGGTTAAATAAATGCACACAAAAACTGCAGTCCTGTGTTTTTCATAGCTAAAGATGTTTGAAGATGCTTGTTTGTTCAGACTCACACAAACTTTATGTACGATTCTGAAAACAGAGATCACGTTTTGATTCCAAATTCAAAGTTACATGAGGATGATTGATTGCCATAACCAAGAAAATTATAGGTAGCAGAAGCGGAAGTAACGTCTGGTTGTAGGAAGTAAAGTTTAGAATATGGTTTATAGAAATTGTCATATGGGGGTCGAGTTCTGACAACCAGGGCGGCATTTCCTCTTGTGCTCCCTATAAATGTTATTGCTTATTCACTAACCCATTGTATTATTACTAATTACTGACACTATAGAGGGATTACTTACTGCACTGTGCTGTATGAATGTACTTACATATCGATCCCAATCAATCTCCCCATAATAGCCATTTGGAGCCCCGTTGGTCTTTTTCTGTGATAATGGAACGTGTGAGTGAGAAACTCTCATAACAACAAGCATTTTATATACCCATATTTTAAATACCCATAGCTTGAAAAAACAACAATAACAACAACAACAACATTCACAAAGGGGATACATTCAACTAAAGTTTACCCCATAGTCTACCTTTCCCGTACTTACTCCATCTTTGTCAGGTGAGCCCCTGTATAGAGAGACACGAGAGGAAAGGACAGAATCATCAGGTAATACTACTTTGACAAAAGCTCAGAAGTTTGAAATGACCGCTCTAATAGCTATCAGACCAAAATAAAAAATAAAACACTTAGATAGTCCACAGATGTTGAACATGCAGCAATATGCTAACTGCATGTCTATGGACTTACAATCAAATAAGTGTTACCAAAGTAAATCTAGCTGCTGAATTATGTAATGTTTTTAATGTCTTGGTGCCAGGTGTTTAATTCTGCATGTTAAACTGTCTACTCGTGCACACTCACGTGGAATCTGTGTCCTTCTCTTTCTTTCGTAACCCAAAGGCCTTCCTGGTGCGTCTTTTCAGTCCTAGCAGCGAAGAAAGAGAAGAAGAAGGAGAGAAAGTGAGTTAGAGAGAGTAATGAAATACTGATGGGCATTTCCATCGAAAGGTACCCATGAGCACTAACGTGAAATTCATAGGAGCATATCAAATTGGGTGTCAAATGATAGCTAAGAGTATATTTTTGGAAAATAAAGGCATAGATACATTTTTCAACCATTTTCCATCTTAAAAAGTAGGTATAAGTACAGTCTTGGTCAAAAGTTTTGAGAATGACACAAATACTAATTTTCATAAAGTCTGCTGCCTCAGTTTTGATGATGGCAATTTGCATATACTCCAGAATGTCATGAAGAGTGATCAGATGAATTGCAATTAAATGCAAAGTCCCTCTTTGCCATGAAAATGAACTTAATTCCCAAAAAACATTTCCATTGCATTTCAGCCCTGCCACAAAATGACCAGCTGCCATCATGTCAGTGATTCTCTCGTTAACACAGGTGAGAGTGTTGACGAGGACAAGGCTAGAGATCACTCTGTCATGCTGATTGAGTTAGAATAACAGACTGGAAGCTTTAAAAGGAGGGTGGTGCTTGAAATCATTGTTCTTCCTCTGTTAACCATGGTTACCTGCAAGGAAACACGTGCCGTCATCATTGCTTTGCACAAAAAGGGCTTCACAGGCAAGGATATTGCTGCTAGTAAGATTGCACCTAAATCAACCATTTATCGGATCATCAAGAACTTCAAGGAGAGAGGTTAAATTGTTGTGAAGAAGATGTCGGGCGCCCAAGAAAGCCCAGCAAGCGCCAGGACCGTCTCCTAAAGTTGATACAGCTGCGGGATCGGGGCACCACCAGTGCAGAACTTGCTCAGGAATGGCAGCAAGCAGGTGTGAGTGCATCTGCACGCACAGTGAGGCGAAGACTTTTGGAGGATGGCCAGGTGTCAAGAAGGGCAGCAAAGAAGCCACTTCTCTCCAGGAAAAACATCAGGGACAGACTGATATTCTGCAAAAGGTACAGGGATTGGACTGCTGAGGACTGGGGTAAAGTCATTTTCTCGAATGAATCCCCTTTCTGATTGTTTGGGGCATCGGAAAACACCTTGTTCTGAGAAGACACGGTGAGCGCTACCATCAGTCCTGTGTCATGCCAACAGTAAAGCATCCTGAGACCAATCATGTTTGGGGTTGCTTCTCAGCCAAGGGAGTGGGCTCACTCACAATTTTGCCTAAGAACACAGCCTGAAATAAAGAATGGTACCAACATATCCTCTGAGAGCAACTTCTCCCAACCATCCAAGAACAGTTTGGTGACGACCAATGCCTTTTCCAGCATGATGGAGCACCTTGCCGTAAGGCAAAAGACATCGACATTTTGGGTCCATGGCCAGGAAACTCCCCAGACCTTAATCCCATTGAGAACTTGTGGTCGATCCTCAAGAGGCGGGTTGACAAACAAAAACCCACAAATTCTGACAAACTCCAAGCATTGATTATGCAAGAATGGGCTGCCATCAGTCAGGATGTGGCCCAGAAGTTAATTGACAGCATGCCAGGGCGGATTGCACAGGTCTTGAAAAAGAAGGGTCAACACTGCAAATATTGACTCTTTGCATAAACTTAATGTAATTGTCAATAAAAGCCTTTGACACTTATGGAATGCTTGTAATTATACTTCAGTATGCCATAGTAACATCTGACAAAAATATCTCATAACACTGAAGCAGCGAACTTTGTGAAGACCAATACTTGTGTCATTCTCAAAACTTTGGACCACGACTGTACACCAGCGGAACCCATCCATCTTGAAGGAGCTGGAGCAGTTTTGCCTTGAAGAATGGGCAAAAATCCCTGTGGCTAGATGCACGCTCAAGTTTCACAATAAAAAACAACGTGGTAGGCATGTTGGGTAAATCAAATGATACAAACCCCCCCAAAATCAATTTTACTGTCTCTACAATTGTCGTCAGCTCGGTCTCTCCAGCTATCTCAATTTTTTGGATGGTTGATGGTTTCACGTTGTATAATGATTTGAAGACAGGCGCATGGATACGTATTAGGGGTTTTATTTACTCCACCCAACACAAGGTACGTCATGGAAAACGACGGGGACGAAGCCCAAAACAAACACGTATATATATATATATATATATAACAAAGGGATGTAACCCAAACAAAACAGTGAGGTGTAACCTCTACACAATACACGGGACGAGACCCGTAATAACAAGAGCACAATATACGGTACTCACGAGACGAACGAACATGGGAAAATAATCGACAAGGACAATGGGGAACAGAGGGCACATATATACACATACTAATCGGGGGAATGGGAACCAGGTGTGCGTAATGAGACAAGACAGTCCGGGGTTGGTGGTAATGAACCAGGTCAGTGACGCCTAGAAGGCCAGTGACGTAGACCTCCAGAGCTGGTGAACGGAAGGAGCAGCAGTACCGGGGGGATCCGTGACAATACCCCAAAATCATAAAGCAAAAACAGTTTATTTGGAAATGTTGCAAAAAAAACAACAAAAAAACCCCCAAAATACCTTATTGACATTGCTATGAGACTCGACATTGAGCTCAGGTGCATTTCCATTGATCATCCTTACAACTTGATTGGAGTCCACCTGTGGTAAATTCAATTGATTAGACATGATTTGGAAAGGCCCACACCTGTCTATATAAGGTCCCACAGTTGACAGTGCACGTCAGAGCAAAAACCAAGCCATGAGGTCGAAGGAATTGTCCATAGAGCTCCGAGACAGGATTGTATGGAGGCACAGATCTGGGGAAGGGTACCAAAAAATTTCTGCAGCATTGAAGGTCCCCAAGAACACAGTGGCCTCCATCATTCTTAAATGGAAGAAGTTTGGAACCACCAAGACTCTTCGTAGAGCTGGCCGCCCAGCCAAACTGAGCAATCGGGGGAGAATGGCCTTGGTCAGGGAGGTGGCCAAGAACTCAATGGTCACTCTAACAGAGCTCCAGAGTTCCTCTGTGGAGATGGGAGAACCTTCCAGAAGGACAACCATCTCTGCAGCACTCCACTAATCAGGCCTTTATGGTACAGTGGCAAAATGGAAACCACTCCTTAGTAAAAGGCACATGACAGCCCGCTTGGAGTTTCCCAAAGGGTACCTAAAGACTCTCAAACCATGAGAAACAAGATTCTCTGGTCTGATGAAACCAAGATTGAACTCTTTGGCCTGAATGCCAAGCGTCACATCTGGAGGAAACCTGGCACCTACCCTACGGTGAAGGATGGTGGTGGCAGCATCATGCTGTGGGGATGTGTTTCAGCGGCAGGGACTGGGAGACTAGTCAGGATCGAGGGAAAGATGAATGGAGCAAAGTACAGAGAGATCCTTGATGAAAACCTGCTACAGAGCGCTCAGGACCTCAGACCGGGGCAAAGGTTCACCTTCCAACAGGATAACGACCCTAAGCACACAGCCAAGACAACGCAGGAGTGGCTTCGGGACAAGTCTCTGAATGTCCTTGAGTGGCCCAGCCAGAGCCCGGACTTGAACCCGATCGAACATCTCTGGAGAGACTTGAAAACAGCTGTGCAGCGACGCTCCCCATCCAACCTGATACAGCTTGAAAGGATCTGCAGAGAAGATTGGGAGAAACTCCCCAAATACAGGTGTGCCAAGCTTGTAGCGTCATACCCAAGAAGACGTACCTCGTAAAACTGACTATCCTACCGATCCTTGACTTTGGCGATGTCCATTTTTTTTTTTTTTTACAAAATAGCCTCCAACACTCTACTCAGCAAATTGGATGTAGTCTATCACAGTGCCATCCGTTTTGTCTCCAAAGCCCCATATACTACCCACCACTGTGACCTGTACGCTCTTGTTGGCTGGTCCTCACTACATATTCGTAACCAAACCCACTGGCTCCAGGCCATCTATAAATCACTGCTAGGCAAATCCCCGCCTTATCTTAGCTCATTGGTCACCATAGCAACACCCACCCGTAGTATGCGCTCCAGCAGGTATATCTCAATGGTCATCCCCAAAGCCAACACCTCCTTTGGCCGCCATTCCTTCCAGTTCTCTGCTGCCAATGACTGGAACAAATTGCAAAAATCTCTGAAGCTGGAGACACTTATCTCCCTCACTAACTTTAAGCATCAGTTGTCAGAGCACCTTACCGATCACTGCACCTGTACACAGCCCATCTGAAATTAGCCCGCCCAACTACCTCATCCCTATATTGTTATTTATTTTGCTCATTTGTACCCCAGTATCTCTATTTGCACATCATCTCTTGCACATCTATCATTCCAGTGTTAATACTAATTGTAATTATTTTGCACTATAGCCTATTTATTGCCTTACCTCCATAACTTGCTACATTTGCACACACTGTATATTTTTCTGTTGTATTTTTGACTTTATGTTTTGTTTTACCCCATATGTAACTCTGTGTTGTTGTTTTTATCGCACTGCTTTGCTT